GTCTCTTGGGTTGGGTAAAGGCGACAGAGGGACACTAACCAGGAACTGGGCAGCAGCGTCTTCCTAATAACATCTCGAAAAAAAAAAACTGCGGTTGCCAAGCCACCTATCAAGCGTGACAACTATGGCAAACCCCTTTATGGAGCATTCAATGGTAAGACTTATGTTCTGCAGCGGACTAGGCTGTAATCAATTAAATAATAAAAGCTGCGCTACGTATATATTTTGACATGGCACACATGTCAAAATTCGCATAAAGCTAAAGAATTACCTAGTTGTCTAACTATATTGCACAAACTACAACATTGATTACAACTAGAATCATTACTTATTTTAATGTTAATATAATGATAATATATTGACCGAAGATCAACCAGACCGAAAGACCGAAGAACTGAAGATCAACCAGAGACCCTTTTTCTGGAAACAAGGCATCATTAAGAATTTTTCAGACAAGTACTTGGACCTGTTTTGAAATTTAAATGTCCACGATGTGCATGGAAACATCGTTCAAGATTTCTTCACAGGCTCAATATCGACACTTTATATTAATAAGTTTTCTATCGGTGCATTTTTAATACATTTAAAGTTACAAGAGTACTTTTTGCCTTTCGTGACTAAAAATTTAAAGTTAAAATTGAATACGAAAAATTCTAAAGTTAATATTGTCGATATTGCTACAGATTATAAAAATATTCAGACGCATAAAAACTTAAAAATCGTTTCGAGTAAGCTTTATTGAATGTCAAACGTTCAAAAACCTCTGGAATTTCTGTCTTTATGAAATGAGTTCTGAAATAAAAACGATTCAGTAGAGTTTTTGCAAGGGGAAAAGAATTAGAAGTCGGTGTCGATGTCTGTATTAAAATTACTTTACATAATAAATTCTAGGAACATACTCTAAGAGTCTACTCTTATAATTGTCTGTTACTCATATAGGTCCAACATCACCTCGCTTGAATATCATAGCGGTCTGCTCTAGAAGCATAAAAAACGAGTATAGCCTTGTGATTAGTATACTGTATAAATAGGTCTTGGGCTGGAATCCATCATTTCATAACCGTCGCACATCTTAATATAAGCATTTAAAGTTGACTTTTAGATTGGAGTTGATAAAAGGATATGATATTAACAGCGTTATTGTTTTTTAATAATTAAACTTTAGACAAATTGAACGCTGATACATTTAACTAAAGATAATAAAATAATTTCCACATAATAGCTTATGAAGTCGGTGGTAAGACAATGTAAAGAAGAATTAAATAATTACAGCCTTAATTATATAGTTGCCACGCTTTTCAGTCAAATTTAGCACCCGCTGTTATCTGGGGGCACGGCAATTCCCCTGCCAAGTCGAGCAAAAAAGCGGCACGGTCGTACCATCCTTTTCTCGAAGCAGTTCAGGCCATTTTCGAACCCCTATTACTTCGTTGTGGATGAAATCAGAAGCTTGAATTTTAAGTAAGCAAGCAATCATTGTATAAACATAGTATCTTTCAAATTTCATTCAATTTGAAGCAGTAGTTTAAGAATTATAACTAGTCAAAGTTTCTTAATTTTGTCACTCACTGACTGACCGATCATCAAAATTCTAAGGCACTTCTAGCAGACGTTGAAGCTTCAAATTTAGAATACAATTAGTGGCCAAGTCAATCTATTTATTTAAAACAAAAGATTTTAATATTGATATGGTCACTATAAGATGTTGTTAGGTTATAGCTAATTAGATTTTTCATTGAGACAGAATCCAAGCAGCATGCAAGCTGTATACGAGCTGTATTGGAGCTCCTTTTTATACTAGAGGCTGCATTTACTGGCTGTACAAAGGCTGTATTGGCACAAATTATACAGCTTTATGCGTTAGTAGCGCTGTACAGTAGCTGTACAAGCATAAAAGGGACTGTATTATAGTTAATAGAATCAGGCGTTACTTTGCGGAAATACATTATATAAAAGCTTTTAAAAAATTTATTTCGCAAACATCCGCGCTATAAAATAAAATGATGTGTCTAACCTAGTATGAAGAGCACCTCCCGCCCTCCCTCAATTGCGTGCACTATCCCCAGCACCGCTACTCCCAACACCACTACACTAGGCAACACACACCACTGACGACAATACGACACGTGTTTCGCCTCTACACGAGGCATCCTCAGGTGATGTAGACTCTACGGTGGCAGACCGTTAAGATCTAGATCTAAAATCTTTAAAATCTTTAAATGCTTTTATGTATTATAGTTGTTATTTGGTGTATAAGGAAAATGTTTTATCTGTATCAAAAATGAATTGTCAAAAATAACTTAATAGATTTATTTATATATGTACTTTATTGAATGATGGCGACATTCAGTGAGTGAAAAATTATACATATTAATATTACTTGGATTGGAGTTGAGTTTTGACGGTGATAACTGGTGAATAGAAAGTGCAAATATAGATTTACGGTAAACTTGTATATGATTTCTATAAAAACTTGCCGAGCCAGAAAAATAACGAAATAATATAAGGACAAAATACTAAATACGGTAAGTAAATATTGATTGTATAGGTTAGAATAAGAAAATAATTAAATTAGAGAATATGAATGCACATTAAGGTACCGTGATCATTAGTCAAACTAAAAATAATGGTTTAGGTTAAAACTAATGTCTCATATTCCTAAATTTTCAATTTAAGATTTGTTTTTATAAGCCTAAACGATATTTGGAGGGTCTTATAGTCTTAGTAGCTGTACTATGTATGTTATGGATTCTACCATACAGCCATTAGTTTTTAAATCAGTTGTATAATATAATATTTTTATAACTATCGCTGTATAGTAGTTTTTAAAACATCACATATAATTTTCTTTAGAGATACGTATAAAGGATGAAAAACCATTGTCTTAGGAACAACACTTTTATCCCTTCTTCACTTTATCTCATTTAAATAATAATATTTTAAGATGTAACCGTGTTTCAATAATTTTGTTGTTTTATTTTATGGACAAGGACAAAAAAGGGTTTACTTCTTTCAAGACGGAGACTTTATAAAGACACACAGACAAAGTTAATAATCTTTTTTGTACGATTTAATCGAAATGATTGTATTTATTGGCAATAAATTACTACCCCTTTGATTCAGTTAAATTCATAAACCAAACTAAAAATATGACTACCTTTAGCAAATAAAGATTACCTATATACATCTTTTCTTTCTAATGTAAAAAAGTGGAGTAAAGAATTAAAGCTATCTCTTTCTTTGCCAAACAATATTAAAGGAGGTACATTTTATGACAGAATATTTTACCTCACTCAACAGGACGGTACCTCCTGGTAAGCGCATACGCATGTCATTTTCTAGTCGTTCACTCGCGTTGTCATACTCTTACGTCACGTAGGTACGGCAAAACCAAAAGAGTTAGCTATGTTATTTGATACCTAAGTTAACTTATTGTGAAGTAATTTTACTGTGTTGTGTATCTTATACTGGTTTTATTTGACCTTTAAGGAAAATATGCCGTTTAAAATTGTGGAAACCATAGAGAAAGGGAAAAATTGCCTTTTATTATACCAAGTTTATGGGAATAAAAAGGGGTTTTAAGATGGCCAAAAAAGCGACTAGATAATAATAATAATAATAATAAAATTATTACTATTAAACGGCGCCGGGTCTGGGCGTCTCCCGTTAATTGACGCCCAATTTAATGGATGATGGAAGATAATAGAACGCGCATAGGGCCGCTGCCTGGGGGTCGCCGGGGCGCGTCTGGAGCTGGCGCTGGACGTGGCAGCATGCGAGCCGCCAGCCGAGCGCGAGGTGCTGCACGACCACCTAGCAGCCCCTCGCGTCCATCATCCCCACCAGACGGCTTGGTGTCGGCGGGGTCCTCTCGGACTCGGCAAGCGGCACCCGCCGCTGGTGGAGTACGCCGCATGCGTTGGACAAAAAATATGAACATAAACGCATTGCGGGCGTACTATAGGGCGAAAGGGGAAGAAACTGGAGGGATAGCGTATCGGGCTCGGATGCATCGCTTTTTTGCTGAGCTTGAGCCGTCAGTTCCCGTCACGGAGCAAAACCTGGCAGACCGAGTTCGGTACATCATACGCTCGAAAATATTTGATGATGCCGAACTCGAACGACTACGACGTGAGGCTATTCCCTCATCGAATGAACCGGCTATAGCTGGGGATGTGGCTCTTCAGGCCACAGACCAGCAGCCACATATAGAGGGCGCCATGGATCTCCCTGCTCTGGTTGATTCAGGCGATGATGGAATGGTCATCCAAGAACTAGAGCAGATGAGGAGTAAATTGGAGGAGGCGATTGTGGAAACGCGCAGTACGCCTCTCGAAAATCGACCGCGACTCCCGCGCATACCCCTAAGCAAGCGGAATCGGGCTGTCGTGAGGGCTCTCAATCCAATGCTGGTGACCTATTTGGAAGACAGCCGGGACCTATGCGAGACGGACTCAATTCTTTTTGGCGCCGCACTGGCAGTTTGCCGTATTGTTGGCGCCAAAATTCCCACGGCTGGACGCGCTACTAGACAAAGTAGCGCCATCCCAGCCTGGAGAAGAAGGATTGAGGACCGTATCGTAAAGGCAAGGGCCCTCATCGGCAGGCTGATAAGCTTCAGGTCGGGCAATAATAGGCCGCGAATTGTGCGCACCGTCAGAATGGCGTTTGCTGGGACAAATATCAGTTTGTCCCAGCCGGATATAACGCAAAAACTGACGGAGCGCATAGACGACCTGAAGCAGAGAATCGCTGCTTGGGGGAAGCGGATTCGGCGATATACCGAGAAGTCGACACGGTTCAACCAGAATTGTCTCTTCCAGAGTGATCAGAAGAGGCTATATAAATCATTGGAGCGACCAATGGTACGTGGAACGGGCCAAGCACCGAATCAGGCCGACACTGTCGCATTCTGGCGCGGCCTGTGGTCAGAGCCCGTAAACCACAGCGAGGGCCCTTGGACGGAAGTTGTGGTGAGTCAGTGTGCGAATCTTACGCCCATGGACCCCGTCATTATAACGCCGGACGATGTAGCTGAGGCGGTCCGAAGGGCCCCGAACTGGAAAAGTCCGGGGCTCGACGGGCTGCATCACTACTGGCTGAAGGGGTTCGTGGTGTGTCACGCTGTGCTCGCCCGACAATTTCAAGAGGCTCTCGACCAAAAGTCGCTCCCGAGCCTCTTCACTACTGGGATCACTCATTTGGTTCCTAAAGACCGGGATACCATAGACCCGAGCAAATACCGCCCCATCACGTGTCTACCCACGATATATAAGACATTAACATCCATTTTGAGCGCGAGAATCACTCGTCACCTGAACTCAAATCAGGTGATGTCGCGCGCTCAAAATGGATGTCGGGGCGGTGGTCGTGGAACCAAGGAACCACTCCTCATTGACGCGGTCATTGGCAAAGTGGTTAAACGCAACCATCGGAACCTATCCGCCGCCTGGATAGACTACAAAAAGGCATTCGACTCGGTGCCTCATACATGGCTGAAGAGGGTCCTCGAGCTGTACAAGGTTGACTGTACAGTTAGAGACTTCCTCGGGTAGTGTATGGGGCAGTGGAGTACGATCCTTTGTCATCTAGGCGAGCGGATGACGGCTGCGGAGAACCACATAAGGATAAGAAGGGGTATCTTCCAGGGCGATTGCCTGAGTCCAATCTGGTTCTGCCTCTCTCTGAACCCTCTCAGTACCTTACTGGAGGGCTCCGGGAGGGGATTTCAGCTTCGGAGAGGAGGTACAAAAGTGACCCACCTTTTCTATATGGATGATCTCAAGTTATTCGCCTCCAGTCGCTCTCATCTTGTGGAATTGCTAAACATCACTTGTGATTTTAGCAATTCTATTAGAATGGGGCTGGGGACGGATAAGTGTGCGGTCCTCCATGTCGAAAGGGGTAGGGTTGCTAACTCTGAGGGTATAGATTTATCTATGCCCATCAACATAAGGACCCTTTCCGAGGCTGAAACATACCGATACCTGGGTATGTCACAGAACATCGGTGTAGATGAGGCGGGTATGAAACAGTCAGTTTGCGATGTGTTTTATGCACGCTTGACCAAAGTGCTTAACAGCCTTTTGTCCGGTGTGAATAATACGCACGCATATAACGGTTGGGTCATGCCTGTTCTCATGTATACCTTTGGCATACTTAGGTGGACTCAGACCGAACTAAACGCTCTGGACAGAAAAGTCCGCACTATAATGACGTCCCACAGGATGCATCATCCGAGATCGTCAGTAATGAGGCTGTACTTGCCGCGGAACCATGGTGGGCGCGGCTTTTTAAGCACGCTTACCATGCATAATCGCGAAGTGTGCAGCCTCCGTAATTACTTTCTGACGAGAGCGGATGATCCATACTATAGGGACGTTATTTCTTGTGATAAAGGACTGACCCCTCTCTCCTTAGCCAACGAGCAATGGCAAGACCCAGCAGTACAGTGCATTTCCGACCGGGAGGCCGTATGGAAGGAGAAGGAGCTCCACGGGAGGTTCTACAAGGCTCTACATGAGCCTTTCATAGACACAGTCGCCTCCCTTCACTGGCTACGTTTCGGTGACCTCTTTGGGGAAACCGAGGGTTTTGTCTGTGCGATACAGGATCAGGTTATTAAGACCAACAATTATCGGAGATACATCCTAAAGGATGGCGCCGTCGACATCTGTCGAGCTTGTCGCCATCCCGGTGAGTCACTTAGGCATGTCATCTCCGGTTGTTCGGCGCTTTCTAACTCTGAGTATTTGCACAGACACAACCTAGTAGCCAGGATTCTACACCAGGAGCTCGCTCTGAAATACGGTCTCGTGGATCGGAAACTGCCATATTATAAGTACTTGCCGGAAGCCGTGCTCGAAAATGACCGCGCCAGGCTCTACTGGGACCGGGCCATCATCACAGACAGGACTATTCTTGCGAATAAGCCTGATATTGTGCTGATGGACCGGGCACAGTCAAGGATATTTTTGGTCGACATTACCATTCCCTATGACGAGAACCTCGTGAAAGCCGAAACAGATAAGCTGACAAAATATCTGGACCTGGCTCACGAGGTGACCGACATGTGGGGTGGTCTGCCGGCCGAAATTATTCCTGTGGTCGTATCTGCGAACGGGTTAATCCCAGTTAGCCTCTCGGGTCATCTGAGGCGACTGGGACTCCGTGACGGACCGCTCCAAGCTCAAATGCAGAAGGCGGTGCTCCTCGATACCACCCGCATCGTCCGCCGGTTTCTTTCCCTTTCCCCCTAACCCTCGGCCGTTTGGTCTCCCCTGCCGAGGGCTTCCATCTGGTTGGGTTTTTATATATTTATGTATTTTTTATGTATTTATTTTATTTTATTCATATTTATGTATGTTTACCATTTTCATTTACAATTATATATTTATACTGCCCAACCAGATGAGAAAACTTTATAGATACCCCAAAATAATAATAATAATAGTTTTTTTTATTTTCTCACCACAATACAGAATTATTGTACATAATATAATAGTATAGCCTCAATAATATACTGTGGGAGACTGGTGCCTAAGCTAGGCTTTACGCCTGTATTTCAGGACGCCAGGTCTCCGCCCTATGGTTGTAATTACAATACTTTTATTATGCACTCGTACATGTACCATATTTATAATTTACATATTAACTAGTATTAGTGCGTGTGCGTGTGCGTGTGCGTGTGCGTGCGTGCGTGCGTGCGTGCGTGCGTGCGTGCGTGCGCGTGCGCGTGCGCGTGCGCGTGCGCGTGCGCGTGCGCGTGTGCGTGCGCGTGCGCGTGCGCGTGTGCGTGTACGTGTGCGTGTGCGTGTGCGTGTGCGTGTGTGTGTGCTTGTGCGTGTGCGTTTGCGTGTGCGTGTGCGTGTGCGTGTGCGAGTGCGAGTGCGAGTGCGAGTGCGAGTGCGTGTGCGTGTGCGTGTGCGTGTGCGTGTGCGTGTGCGTGTGCGTGTGCGTGTGCGTGTGCGTGTGCGTGTGCGTGTGCGTGTGCGTGTGCGTGTGCGTGTGCGTGTGCGTGTGCGTGTGCGTGTGCGTGTGCGTGTGCGTGTGCGTGTGCGTGTGCGTGTGCGTGTGCGTGTGCGTGTGCGTGTGCGTGTGCGTGTGCGTGTGCGTGTGCGTGTGCTTGTGCGTGTGCGTGTGCGAGTGCGTGTGCGTGCGCGTGTGCGTGTGCGTGTGCGTGCGCGTGCGAGTGCGAGTGCGCATGCGCGTGCGCGTGCGCGTACTCGTGTGCGTGTGCGCGTGTGTGTTTGTGTGTGTGTGTGTGTGCGTGCGTGTTTGTGTGTGTGTGTGTGTGTGTGCGTGCGTGCGTGCGTGCGTGCTTTTGTTTGTTAGTTTGTGACTGGGTTAGTAATTAACTTTTATTCGATTAGTAATTAGATAGAATTAGTAAGTAGTTGTTCAGTGTCATAATAATTTAGTTCTTGGAGCCAGATAGTTATTTTCTTTTTGCATATAGTTTTGTTAGCGTTAAATATAGGGATAATTTTATTGACTTTATTGTATGAGAAACCTCCAAGGTGACAAAAGAAACGTTTAGATAATTTGGTGGATAGAGTTATATGACAGCGGTCCACGGGGTTAAAACGCCTTTTATCTCGGGAGACTGAGGGGTTGTATTTTAATAAAGCATGCTATTTTAGTAAGGTACTTTGTATAAACAGTTGCCGCACAGTTAAAATTTTCAACTCTTTATCTCTAGCTCTGTAGGATAGCGATACGGCAGTGAAAAAGAGACCTTTAAGATGGCTCTCTGCGTTCTCTCCAATTGAAGCATTTTAGCTTTTGGAGCACCGCCCCAGGAGGTAACACCATATGTTAACAGAGATTGGGCCAAGGCGAAGTAGACGGATTTCTTTAGTTTCTCGTCAGCCACATCTCTCATACCCCATTTAGACTCTCGCCTCGCGCCTTGCCTCGTACCTCGCCTCGCAGCTCGCATGTTGTTGTGAGGTAACGAGTGCCTGTTTACACTCTCGCGATGCGTTCAGTTTGCTTTGAACCAGCAACGATGGAAGACGTCGAAATAATAGCGGCATCAACTCTTGCCTTAATAAATATTTATCGATGCTTGACCATTTTAAAAAGAAGGAAATTAAAAAAATTCAGATTTTTTCAAAGATTTCATAGATTGCTTTTTTCTTCGTAGGTGTTGACGAAAGGTAGCCATAAGCGAATTCTTTTTTACTTTGAGCTCTGCTAGCGGTCTGCGGCTCTGGTAGCACATAACCTCGGAAATTCTATTCCACGCATCTTTTACTTTTTGGGTATTTTTATGCATAATTTACTTTGCATATGTAAGAAGCTTACTCGAATATGCGAGCTGTGTATGGTCTCCACAGTACGCAAAGCATATTGATGCCATTGAATCCATCCAGAAAAAATTCATTAAATACCTAAATTTCAAAATGAGTCCAAATCGTGTTATCTACGAAGATAGCTGTCGTTTTTACGGATTTCTACCGCGAGTTGCTCGATATGTTATTTTTGCATAAATTGCTCACAGGTCAAATAGATTCTCCGGAGCTGCTATCGATGATATCGCTTTATGTACCTTCAAAGCGCACTCGTCACACAAATAAACGTTTATTCCATGTACCTTTGTCGCGTACCAGTTATTCATCAAACTCAGTTCTGTCTAGGATACTACATAATTACAACACGAAATTTTCTGATATAGATCCCTTTAATTCGACCACATATGGTTTTAAACACGTCGTCATCAAAAAGCTTAATATCTAACATCAATATAGCATGTTAATTTATATAATACTAAAGCATTTTACACACACATACCTCCACACACACAGACACACACTCTCTCTCACAAACGCATATACACACACACATTATGTATATATATATATATATATATATATATATATATTATATATATACATATATATACACATATTTTTAAATTACTCTTTCTGCTCGTACTCTTAAGTTATGATTTTTAAGTAAGAAAACTGTAATTAGCTTTAATTTAAAACTAACTAATGGTTGTATACTATTATTGTAATCATGCCGTAGTTTTCTAATAAATAAAATAAATAATATGTTTTGGGTCCCAAATTATTCGCTCAGCTTGATAGAGTTCCAAGAACTGCAGCGTTTCTTCTTGCGACTAGTCCATTTTTAATTGAAGTTGAACGTGTAAACCCAACAAAACAACACAACCTGCACGGAAGGGCGCCGTAAACAAACTGAAACGAGAGCGCGAGTGTAAACACCACGCTCGCGTCCCTCGCGAGGCCCTTTGCCTCGTGCCCAAAAAACCGCCTCCGACGCGAGCGCCGCGAGTGGCGAGGCGAGCTGCGAGGCGAGCCACGAGCTAGCGTTTACACTCGCGCCTCGTGGCTCGCCTCGCGACTCGCCTCGTCGCTCGCGCGAGAGTGTAAATAGGGTATCAGAGTTTTAAAAACATATATAAGTTTACGCAACCTGCTATTAAGGGTATTAATGTGTTCATGAAAACGTGCTATCAATTATTACTCCTAGATATTTTACTTTTTCAGCTTGACATAGTTTGATGCAGTTATCTGCGTTATTAAGT